AAAGGAATAACTGCCTGTTTTCTTATGCTATTTGCATATCGTCAATATGCTAAATGACCGTCTCTAAATATGTAAATATCCACTTCTCTTGGTTAAGTCGGGCAAGCCCTGCTTCCTCGTTCAAGGGTTCAGATCCTGGGGGTGGACCTACACCACTCGTTGGCAGCTGTGCTGAGGTGGTGACCCACATACAAAATAGAGGAAGATTGGCACAGATGTTAGCTCAGGGACAATCTTCCTCAAGCAAAAAAAGAAGATTGGCAACAGATGTTAGCTCAGAGCGGTTCTTCCTCACCAAAAAAAACCCACAAAATCCAGGTAGCTTACTTCTTTATTACTTTCAAGCCTGTGTTCAAATGTCACCAAATTAAGGATATCTTCCTGATCACTCCATATAAATCAGCACCCCCCCATTTTCTCCAGTCTCCTTGTCCTTAATCTTTCTCCATAAAACTTAGAGTCACCTGACATAAATTCTGTATGTTGTTCCTCACTTTTTCTCCCTCTCTCCCCACCGTAAAGTAAGCTCCCAGAGGGCACGGCCTTTGTTCTGTCCGCTGCTGTGTTCCTTGCACCAAGGACATTATCTCACTTTCAGTGAGTCTGCCACAAGGTGCTTTAGCCAGGTTACCTGAGATAGTCAGTTGATGTGTGGTGTTTACAAATATTAATACAGTTTGTGCATACTTACTGTTTAAATGTGTGAAGATGCATAGACATTTCTTTCTCTCATTCTCATTAAGTGGTTATTTTTATTTCTTTAGCATATAGTCTTCTTTTCTTACCTAAGGCCTCAAATTTTGCTTCTTTGCCCAAGTCCTTACTGGCAATTGAATTCCTAGGTTTGCCCACGAAATAATCTGTAAGCAGCATTGTTTTTTTTTTTTTTTTTTTTAAGATTTTATTTATTCATTTTTTCCCCCCAAAGCCCCAGTAGATAGTTGTATGTCATAGGTTCACATCCTTCTAGTTGCTGTACGTGGGACTCGGCCTCGGGTTGGACGGAGAAGTGGTGCCTTGGGGCGTGCCCGGGATCCGAACCCGGGCCGCCAGCATCAGAGCGCGCTCACTTAACCGCCAAGCCACGGAGCCGGCCCAGCAGCATTGTTGATAACATTTTGATGATACAACAGAAATACATTTACTTTTACAACAGAAATATGTATTGAGCATAAGACAAAATATGTATGCAGAGGACAGTAATCTGGTGGCTTGGTACAGGGATGCAATGCATTACTAGCCTGTTGAGTCCAAAGCAGAATGCCTTGAACTAGTCTCCTGGGCTTTGTCAATCGGTGGACCAAGGTGACCTTCAACACACAACTATCCTGAACATTTGCCTGTTGGGGATTTGAAGACTGCAAAGGTTGTTGTTAATTGAAACGTAACTCACATGCCATAAAATTCACCTTCTTAAATTGTAAAATTCAGTCGTTTTTAGTATATTCACAGGATTGTGCCACCATCACCACTATTTGATTCCAGAACATTTTCATCAAAAAGAATCCCCTTACCCATAAGCAGTCACTCCCTATGCCTTCCTTCCCCCCAGTCCCTTGGCAACCACTAGTCTGCTTTCCGTCTCTATGGATTTGCCTGTTCTGGGTATTTCATATAAATGGAATCATACAATATGTGGCGTATTGTGCCTGGCTTCTTTCACTTAGTGTAATGTTTTCAGGGTTCAGCTATGTAGCATGTATCAGTACTTCATTCCTTTTTATGGCTGAACAGTATTCCATTGTATGGAATACCACATTTTATTTATCCATTCATCAATAGATAGACATTTAAGTTGTTTCCACTTTGGTGCCATAATGAATAATACTGCTGTGAAAATTTGTGTACAAGTTTCTGGGTGAGCATATGTTTCATTTGTCTTGGTTACATACCTAGAGTGAAATTAGTGGGTCTATGGAAACTTTATGGTTAACCTTTTGAGGAGCTGCCAGACTGTTTTCCAAAGCAGCTGCACCATTTCGCATTCTTGCCAGCAGTGTACGAGGGTCCCCGTTTCTCCACATCCTCACCAACACTTGTTACTACCTGTCTTTCATTATAATCACTGTAGTGGGATAATGCCTTTCCTTGATGGCTAATGATGTTGAGCATCTTTTCATGTGCTTATTGGCCATTTGTATATCTTCTTTGGAGAAATGTCTATTCATCCTTGGCTTATTTTTAATTAGGTTGTTTTTTAATTATTGTGTTATAGGAGTTTTTTACATATTTCAGATACAAGTCTCCTATCAGATTTGCAACTATTTTCTCATTCTGTGGGTTGTCTTTTTACTATCTTGATGGTGTCCTTTGAAGCACAAAAGTTTTTAATTTTAATGAATTCCAATTTGTCTGTCTTTTGGTTGCTTGTGCTTTGAGTGTCATATCTAAGCGACCATTGCCTAATCTAAGATCATGAAAATTTACACTTATGTTTCTTCTAAGTGTTTATAATTTTAGCTCTGCTTACATTTAGGTCTTTGATCCATTTTGAGTTAAGTTTTATATGTGGTGTTAGGTGGAGGTTCATCTTCATTCTTATGCATGTGTATATCTAGTCTCAGAGCAATTTGTTGAAAAGACTGTTCTTTCCCCCACTGAATTGTCTTGGCACTCTTGTTGAAAAGCCATTGACCATAAATCTCTGGGTTTAATTCTGGACTGTCAGTTCTGTTCCATCAATATGTATGTCTATCCTTATGCCAGTACCCACACTATCTTGATTACAGTGGCCTTTTTTTTTTTTTTGAGGAAGATTGGCCCTGTGCTAACATCTGTTGTCACTCTTCCTGTTTTTCTTTTTTCTCCCCAAAGCCCCAGTACATAGTTGTGTATCATAGTTGTAGAGTTGTAGCTCTTCTGTGTGGGACGCTGCCTCAGCGTGGCTTGATGAGCGGTGAGTAGGTCTGTGCCCAGGCTTTGAACCAGTGAACCCTGGGCCACCGAAGCACAAGGTGGGAAGTTAACCGCTACACCGCCGGGCCAGCCCTACAGTGGTTTTTATAGTACGTTTTGAAATCAGGAAGTGTGAATCTTTTCATTTTGTGCCAAGATAATTTTGAAATTGACTTGAACTAACTTAGTCATCTAAAGACAAGTAGACAAGGAACTATTCTTCAGAACAAGTCTAAGCAGGCCCCAAACTAATGTAATTCTTAGGAACGGAATGGCTCTCCGGACTTGTCCAGCCAGATTCACTTTATCCCTTCATTCATTTATTCAGCAGTGATTTTAGGGAGTTTTTGTAGCAACATAACTGTGAGCACTGTTGAAAGTTGCACAATGTAAAGAAAAATCCAATGTCCGGGAGATAGTTTTGGAAATTTCATCCGAAGCGGGAGACATTGAGGTTTTTAACCAGATCAGTGATGGTAGGGATGGGACACTTTCAAGAAATGTTGGTGGTAGAATTTTTGATACTTGAAATGGATAAGTTTTGGTTGGTAAAGGAGAATAAGGAATTGCAGATACTTATATTTCTAGCTTGGGGCTGATGGGTAGATGCAGTTAGGGGAGTGGATTGCGACGGGCTGAGTAAAGATACACAATAGTATCATCTGTTCTTTCAAGAAGTCTGGCAAGCTGGGAGGAGAGAACAGGCTTATGAGAAGATTGATTGTTTTTGCTTTGTTGGTTGTGTTTTAGGATGGGGGAAACTTGCTATCTGAGGTAAAACTTGAAGATATGACTGGTGGTTTAATTATCACGTTAGGTCCCAGAACAAACAGGGCAAAGATCCTCTTTCCTCTCAGATGGTTGGTAAGAGAGCTGATGCTTGATCATCTGTAGTTAGCTAAAGTTAGGAGGTGGGGTAGGTTAGGGAACTGTGGAACTTAAGAGTAGTGAAGAGTTAGAATAGCCGCTGAGAAATGTAGATAAAATAACAAGGAAACAGAAAATAGGAATGAAAAGACAAAACAGAGGATCACTTCAGGAAATCCACCAGCTAAATATCAGTGTCTGAAAGAGAACAGAGAAAATGCAGGAGAGGAAATTATCAGTTATTATCTGTAACTCAAGAAAAGTTCCCTATACAGAAGCACAATATGAAGTTTCCAGATTGAAAGGACCCTCTTGAGTACCCAATACAATAACCTCAACGTGAAGACATGAATAACTACCAGTGAAAGAAAACAGGTCACCTAGAATAAGGATCGAGAATCAGAGTGGCTTCAGATTTCTCAACAGCAACACCAGAAGCAAGACAACTGAGCAATGCCTCCAGATTTCTGATAGAAAATTATTTTCAGCCCATGATTCTACATGCAGCCGGACTATCAATATACTTTGAGGGTAGAAAAAAGATGTTCAGGCATTCAGGGTACAAAAATGAGGGAATAAGCCAAGACAGATGGAGTATGAGTTAGTATATAACAGATCGGGTGGGGCCTGCTCTTTTCATAACAGATCTTGTACTAGTTAACTCATAATGTGCAACTGTGACTTTGATATGTGTTAAAACTTGAAAGTGAATGGGCCACAGTAGTATGAATGTATTTAATGTCACTGAACTGTACATTTTAAAATTATTAAAATGGTATATCTATTTACCACACACAAAAAAAGAAGATAAATGGGAGGCAGCAACAGCTGGACCATACAGCTCTTAAAGTTGAGCTGTGAAGGGTTGATGAGGGACAGTAGTTGAGGGGTGGGAGTGGGGAGTGGTGTACTATCTTTGTACTGTTTCTCCTGGGAAAGTTTTTAAAATTTGGAGTCAGAAAATCTAAGAATATGTCTGCATGCCTCATACATGCACACTTGGCACTGGGCCAACATGGGCTGGATCTAACTGGGATGGCTTCAAGTTCTTTCCCAGATGTCTCTAGGCCCTTTGTTACTTTTCCGTCCTGAGCAGTTCTCCCAGGTCTTCACATGAGAAAAGCAGCTTTGATGACAGATAAGTTTTTCACCATGTAAGTACTGTGACCAGTGGCCTATGGACAGATGTTTAATTCAGAAAAATAAATGTAGCCTAAACAAATCTCATTATCTTACAGCGTGAACTTCTTACCTGAGGACTGTAAAGACTAACTAGTTTGAAAATGGAAAACCAAGAACGAGTGAATTCTTCTCAAAACATCAAACAGTCTATTATCTCAGAGGAGGTATAAATTTTCACTTCCCTTCCCCTATTCACATAAAGCCGAGTGTAAAAGACTGTTGTTTCAAATGATTGTTTTTAATTTTTAAAGACAGTTTTTAAACATTGTTCCTGCTCCCTTTTTAGGACTCAGGGACATTTTGCTCTTCGGTGAGAGCAGTAGTGTATCCCTCTTAATTATATGTATCAGTGAAATTGGGATTGTTTTTAAAGTGGATTTTGGCTGTTGATACAAAAATTCTCAGTTTTTATTACAAGTTTGCTTGGGTAGAAGAATAAATCATATGTGAGTTTTAGGGCTTAGAAATTTCATACTTAGGTATCACATCTTAGTTAGCTGTTTATGGTCTCAATATGTTTGTTTAAGAACAATAAACACCTAAGTTGTTAATTGTAGTGTAAATTCCGGAACTAATGGATGTCTTATACATTATTCAGTTTAGCTTTCAAAAATTCTCTTCCTGCAAGATAAACCAGCACACGGACAGATAGAACTGTTTGGTGGTTACCAGTGGCTAGGGGTGTGGGGGGTGAGCACAAGGGGTGGAGGGATGCACTTATATGGTGACTGATAAACAATAACGTACAACAAAAATTTCACAATAAAAATTAAAAAAAAAATTCTCTTCCTGCAGAAACCATTGCAGTGGATAAATTTTAAATCCTTCATCCTGGAACTCTGGTCTTGACACCTTTCTGCAATTCTTTTCAATTTAAAAATCTTTCCATGTTGTCTGTGAATAGATGTGATAATTATTAGGTTGCTGCTAGCAGGAAGTGAAAGATAGGATAGTAAGAAAAAGGCTACTGCTTTATGTACGCAGTGGAACTTTCCTTTCAGTTCAGTCTAGTGCCATAGGTAAGTTAGTCCTGGTAACCTCAACCCCCCAGTGTCTAGACAGGATGATGCTGGGTTGCCTCAGATTGGGTGGGAAACCCATGTGTCCTTACAGGAAATCCAGTCATTGGACATGAATTCCCCATAGTCAGCTTTGCTGTATAGTCATTGACAGTAAAATGCCACTGAGGAGTTTTACCTACTACACACAGCTCTGTGACCAGCACCCAAATCAGAGGATAGAACACTGGGAGCATCTCAGAAAACCCGTCACTCCTTAGTGCTCCCTTCTAGTCCCCACCACCAAGAGGTTTTCGACTATCATTTCTTTTCACCTCTCAGTCCTGCCTCTGAAACTCCAAAAAGCAGCAGCACCACCCTTCAGAAAAACAACTTTTAATACCTTGAACTAAACTCGCACACAAATTATTGGGAGGGAAACATGATCATTGGGAGGGTCACACAGAGAAGATCTGAAAGAAAAAAACCTAAATAAATAACAACACAGTTTGAAAGTTTCCCAACTTATTGTCTGATCTCTTTTAGTTAATTGCAGAAGGAAAATGGGTCAAGCTTGAAAAAACAACTTACAGGGATCCTACTGGTAAAACAAGGTAAACTATTTTTTTCCTTTTGTAAAATGCTCAATATTTGGGGTCTCAGGGTCTCTCTTTAGTGTTGGGCATAAACTTTGATATTTTCCTCATTATAAATTCTGTCCTAAGTAAAGAATCTAATGTAGCTCTTTTCCCGTTGTTAGAATGTTCAGATCACTTACAACCTCTGAATAAAATTATGCTGTAAATTTCTTACAGTAACTAATTAGGAATCTGTTTTAACACCATTCTCCCCAAGTAGATTAGCATGAACCTGAAACTTCTGGGCCAAGCCTGATGTAGGCTGATAAAGCAGCAGAATACTTAACAGTACAGGTTGCTTCCTTCTAGTTAGACCGATTTTTAATCTCTAAATTAGAAGAATTAAAGAGAAAACACTGCTGAGTTTGAGGTAAAACTTACATGCTTACCCCTTGCTCATGGAAATGTAAATTGGAAAAAAAAAGTTTTGTAAAGCATTTCGCTATATGTATCAATTGCCATAAAGATATACGAGGTGGGGGAGGGAGGGAGTTATTGGGGGCAGGCCACCATGGGATCTGATACTGTGCTGAGAAAACTATTTGGAATCAGATTTATGCATGAAAAATGTTCATCAAAATTTAAAAAGACGAAAATAAACTGAAAGCAACCTAAACATCTTAAAAATAGGGAAACACTGTTATAGTCTATTCATTTGGTAAAATCCATGCAGCCATGTACAAAGCAGATTATGAAGACAACCTAGCAATATGTGAAAAGTTAATAAGTTGGTAACAAAATAGGAAATTGTATATTTGCTTTTTAAACTCTGCCAAATAATGTGTAAGAAAAGGCTACAAGGAAAACTGTAGCAAAATATTAATGGCAGCTGTGTGATTAACCTTTTTTCTTCTGTTTCTCAGATTTTCTGTTTAGTAATTTTTTATAACTATCAGAAAAAAAAGTGTTAAAATAGGTTAAGCATTTATTTAATGAAATATAAAAAGGAATAAAACAGAATAAGAAAATATGAAAACGTAACTACACTTAGTATCCAGATTACATGAAATAAATTCTTTAATATAAAAACTCCATTTGCTAAAGGATCAAATAAGAATACAGAGTTTCTTTGTAAGGAAATACATCTATTGTCAGTGCGAAAGGACTTGGACTTGCCAGTGATTTAAACAACTTTTGATTATATCTACTAAACTAGCAAAAATATTGATAAGGCCCAGTGTTGGAGAGCTATGGGAAACATTGATATCCATAGCAGTGTTAAATTAAAACCCAAACATAAGAAAGCTCGGCACACTAAGGTCCGTCAACACAGTGGAAGAGTGTGACTGTCAATGAAAGGGAGCTTACTGTGCAGAACTAAATATGAAATAAACAGGGGATACAGACATGGCAAGGCTCGAGCCTTAAGGAGCAAAGTATGTTCAAATGTATTTATATTTGTGAAAATAGACAGAGATTAGAATCCACCTTACAGTGATGTAGTTTGGTTCTGTCCCTATAAAGTTGCGTAAGTTTTAAACACAAAATAAAACCCTTAACACTGGTTAGTCTAAAGAGTATGTGTTGGTTGCACTGGCGTCTCTCTTCATCTGACTTCTCTTCCTCCCTTCCAGCATTTCTTAATCAGGGATGTGCATCAGAATCATTTGGGGATTTTTTCCCAAAATACTCATGATTAGGTCTCACCTCCAAAGAATCTGCTTCAGTAGTTAAGGAGTGGGCTCTAAAGTCCACCAACTACCATACCTATATGGCCTGTTAATGGCATGTTCACCTCCATTCTTCCATACATAGGTCTTCCTCATGGCCTCCAAAGAGGTCTTATGTAAAGCATTAAAATTTCATCCCAGAATGTCAAGCTTTGAAGAATGAATCTCTGTACTTTACAGTAGGCTATGATTTATAAATTTATAAAATGTTTTATGTCTTACCTGATATAAAAGCATGTACATAAGGAGAAAACAGCAGCTAGAGAATCCTTTGTTCCACCGTCTCATTCATGGAAGAGGATATGGAATTGATTTTACAAGTGTAAAAATATGCTGGCAGTATGCCCCTTATTGACATTCAGGAGGGAGCTGAAGTCACCCTCTGCCGCCCTTCCTACCTCTTATGTTGGTTGGCTAGAGGGAAGAAAGCAAAACAACAAGGACGAAAAAATGGAGTAACTTAACTGGAATCAGAATTCTAAAGCTATAAGAGGATTTTGAGATGATATACTCTTTAATTCCCTAGTTTTACAAATGAGAAAACAGTCTCAAGGAGGTTGTGGCTATGGGGTTAGCTAGTAGGCCAGTAGAGACTAAGACTTTCTAACTCATCAAATGTGCATCTCTCAGAGTCTGTTTAAGAGGATTGGAGCTCTCATGGGGCATTTTTGTTTTAGTATTTCTTATAAATGCATTTATATCTTATTACTTATGATTTATGGCTCATCACTGCTTTTATTTACTTCATCTTAACCACTGTAATGATACTACTCTTTGTTTCCCTTATTCCTAGTGTATTTGGGATGGGACCTTCAGTGCTTTTCCCAGCACTGTCTTCTTCACTCTTTAGGACTAACCTTAAGAGGCAGCAGAGAGAGAGAGCTATGTCAAAAGGTGTTTCGTCTCTTGCAGTCTGTATCATTGACTCATCGGAATTGCTTGTTGGTTGGCTTCTTGCTACTAACAGGAATGTTGGGCTGCTCTGAGTTGTCATAGTAGGCTGTTTGATTATCATAGGTTCATTTTGACGTATTTGCCCTTTAGAATTTGGGTACAATACTGAAAGTTCTACAGTTTACAGAAAGGTTTTTTTTTTTTTTTAACTAGATTAAAGATCTGAAATTTTTTTAACAGAAATATGGCAAGATCCAAACCTGAAGGACGACCGGATAGAAACTATGAGGGTCCCTCGAGTAGTACATCTTACACTCACTCTCAACTGTAGGGAGACTGATGTTGACACCTTTCTTATCCCAGTCCCCAGAGCCACTCAGATGTCTGTCTTCTCTTGGATCCAAAAATTATTTGCTTCTTCACGCCCATCTCTTACCACTGCTTTTTCTATTTAAGAGCTAAGAGAGTGAAGGGGGAATTTCCCTCATATGCCCTTCCCTATTTAAACAACATGACTGTACCGATAACTGGATTTTGAGTACAGTGTTCCCCAGAAACAAACAGCTCATCAGGAATAAAGCCATAAAAGGGAGCAGGAACCTGCTGTTACTCGTCTCGCTTTCTCCTCTAGGGACCATTTTCCTCTAGATGAGCTCTCACACGTGCAAAGTAGAGCGCTGACCTAAATTTAATAATTCCTCAATTAATAAATGAGATGGTCCTGCTTTCTTCAATTATGTATTCTAGGTCACAGGTTTTAAAATCTAAGTTGTATAAATAACTGTCTCAATAGTTCTTATTATGCAGAGTATCTTTTGTTCTTGAAGATGAGGCTGTAATTTTCATAGGGGCTTAATTTGCATAGACTGCTTAATAGCCTTTGAAGCTGTCATCACCAGCTGTGCTGCTCACCTACAGATTCATGATCCAAATGGATGTATTTCGAGGAAATGATTTGAAAGGCAGCTCAACAGGCCTCCTAGAGAGCACCCCGAGGGTCAGATGTGGGGTAGCAGGTTTTCTTTGGTAATTTTCAGAAGCTACAGGGAAGCACAATTGGCTGTTTTAATACAGATCTGTACTGTTGTGGTCTTCCTGACCATTATCATTAGGACATTTGCATGCCTTGCTTTTGTAAATTCCGGTGGTAGACAGAAAACCCAAGTACATTCTCCTCTCGAGTGCTAATGATTGTGTTTTTTCTTTTTTGCCTGATCAGAACTTGGGAAACGGTGAAACGGACGACCAGGAAAGGACAGTCAGCTGATGGTACGCGTGTAGACCCGTGTGGCTCTTCGTAAGGGAGGTTGCCAGCGTTGCAGGAGGGTTCTTTGCGTTGTAACCAAGACTTCAGGGCAGAGTTATCTTCAGTTATGATCTTTATCTTTAAATCTGGTATTTGGTTTTGCAATGCTATGTAACTAAGTCAGGCTTTCTTTATAAGTAACTTCTGCCTCCTCTTATCTAAGCTCAGAACAGTGTTTTTGAAGGGAAGATCTACTGATATTTGTAGCCAAACATAATTCAGTATAATTTAAAGCCACATACTGTGTCTAGATATGTTAAGACTTCCAGAAATCCTTTATATTCTGTTCAAAGGGTCGAGGTGAGAGCCTTTAGTTTGGAAAACTTGTTTGGCACTACTTTATGCTTATTGGCCATTTGCTTTATAAATTGATGAGGAAATAGAATCAGGAAAAGACTGTTCCTTCAGTTGACTTTCCCATCCAGGCATGAAGCTCTGACTGCAAAGATCCCAGAAACAATCCTGAAAACCACCTCTTGTCTAGGGGAAGGGGGGCAATAGGTCTTTCTTGGTTTTCCCTCTTATTTTCCTATTTCATTTTGTAGCTGCCTCAGCTGCCTTTTTGCCTGCTGGGAAGTGTTTGGGGGAGCCGAGCGCTGCTCCTGGACAGTTTGTGTTTTCCAGAAGCCAGTGGGTTCTTGTTTTTGTTTTGTTTTCAGGCCAAGTAAAAGTTTTCTCTCTCTTTTGGGAGCAAAGGTCTTTTACCCTAAAACAATAAAACCCAGTCTAGCTAACATATGCTACCACGAGACTTACTGATTTATTGCTTAAAGGAAATCCAAGAGCACACAGATCAATGTAACTTCCCCAGCAGTGAGAAATGGCTTTCTGTAGAGGTTAGTGTAGACGGAAATTTTGTCTGGTAGTCATCTAGTGTAGACTGAAGTTTTGTCTGAAAGACCCTGGGCTAAGTGTTTAGTTTTGATTTTATTTTAAGGAAATTGTGGCAACAAAAACAAGCTTTTTATGAAAAGAAAAATTAAACAACATGGAAAGGTGATTATTTTTTTCTTTACATTTTTGAAGGAGAATTACTTCCAAAGTTAACTGCCAATATTGTAGCTTAAGTTAACTTCCTATCACTAGTGGCAAATACAAGGTAGAGTTCGGATGCGGCGTTTCTGAAAGTACAGGATTTTAGTTAGATTGCTCTAAACAAATTGCTGGCATTACTACCCTCTCATTAGGGACTTCCTTGGTTTTCCTTCCTGGTGACAGGTGTGTCGGTTATCCCAGTGCTGCAGAGAACTCTCCATTATGAATGTATCGTTCTGGTGAAGCAGTTCCGACCCCCCATAGGAGGCTACTGCATAGAGTTCCCCGCAGGTGAGTGAGTGAACTCGGGGAATGGAATAGCTTCTCAGGGACCTAGGACTGAGCCGGGGCAGAGCTGAGAGCTGAAGTACTCGGACATTTAACACCTTTTTAAATGTGTTAAACCTCCATGTGGTTTGAAGTAAAACAACATAATTTCTGCAGTGAGGTGTCACCAGGCACACTCATGCGATGCACTAGCCCTTGGAGGTGGTGTGAGGGATGGTCACAGCTTACCTTTCCAAGCCACCTGCCCTCCTCTATGCAACATTCTTTCTAGCCTCTCTTTGAGTAATTGCTTTTCCCTAATTTGGCAACTTATTTCATTATCTATCACTATCGATCTGCCTTTGATAGGAAATTTACAGTAATAACTAGGCCAGACTCTTAACTCCAAAAACTATGAATGAAAGAGACATCTTCATCCTCCCATATGTATACAGGCCAAGGAAATTGTCTTCATTTCCTTGAATAATCTTTTAATATTTCCTTGAATATTTTTAGAATTTTTTTTCAGTTGCACAGTAAATAAAGGTATCCAGAATTTAATGCACTGTATTATTACAGGACTTAATTGAGTTGTTCCCATCTGAAGAGATTAGATCTCATTTATTTATCATTAGTGGTTTAGGTTTTGTATTTTTAAAGTCGATCCCATAGTAACGTATAACTAACAACTTTATTTTCTTTCTCATTTACTTTCCATTTCAGTGAGGAAATTAATAACTTTAAAAGTAACCGAATAGCCTCCATTACACTTTTTCTTTGCATTCTTTATTCCTTTCCGGTAAAATAATCCAAGTCACTCCTGTCTTCCTGCCGCTTGGCCTCTCCTCCTCCCAGTGAACATGGCGGTGACCGAAAGTGCACCAGCCTTCAGTTCTCCCCTCTCTGTTCCTCCCCCTCCCAGCTGACATTCATCTTAGCACCTCACTGCAGGCCTCAACGTTGTTCTGTGAGGGAGGAGGGCAGGATAGGTGACACTCACGTGAGGAAACAGAGAAGTAACAGGCTTCCTGTGCCGCGGTCACATAGCCAGGTGACCAGCCTGGGCCAGTTAGCCACCACCAAGCCACTCGTCCTCCCAGGAGGTCAGTGCTGGCCATGCCGTAGAAAAACGGGAGTGCTGAGATACTCACGAAAACAGGCTGGGTCTAAGTGACAGGAACAGATGGTAGCTTTCAGAAGCTCTTAATCTGCCTGCGGTGTTATTCTGTTGCCTTCCAAACCTCAGTCAGTTCGATCTCACGACCACTCTTCACGGTCCTCTGATTCTTCTCGTGTAGCTCAGCAGCAGCTGTGTGAGAAGGACATGTTCAAAGAAAGCTGGCTTTCCCTGTCCCGCCTCTTCCAGGTCTCATAGATGAAAACGAGAGCCCGGAAGCAGCGGCTCTTCGGGAGCTTGAGGAGGAAACTGGCTATAAAGGTGATGTTGCCGAATGTTCTCCAGGTTGGTATTGCTCTCCAGGTGTGCACTTGGCGACAAACGTTGAAAATCAGCCAAGCAGGAGATGCCTCTGTGTGTAAAAGGAGTGATTATTTGGGTGTTCGTTATGGTCGGAATTCAGGTGGCTTTTATTTTGGCTAATTCATTGGAGAGAAATCATAATTAGATTTGGTCACCGTCTGCACGTGAACCTCCCTTCCCCGTGAGAGTGAGTTCCAGCAAGAAGGACCAAAGTGGGAGAATTATGAAACTAAGTTGCCTTTCAGAGTTTCCCACATTCTCAGCTTTGTTCCTTACCTCATCCACGTTCCACGCTCCTTCTGGATTTTTTTCCTGACGTGGTGAAAGCATTTTACAACCTGTCAGTACCTCCTAACCCTTCAGACTTACCAAACTTTACTCAGGAACCCTGGGGAAAATATGAGTACTGACCACATCTGTGTTCCCCAGTCCTACAGCATCTGCTCAGTGAAGACGGGGAACTGCAGTTTTCCTGCATCAACTCCGTTAGCTGTGCGTTAGGAGCCCAGTCTTCTCCTGAAGACGTTTAAGTGGTGAAGCGAATGACTCTGAATGGTGTCTGTGAAGGTGACCTGTTGCTTCTCTCCGCAGCTGTAGGGATGGATCCAGGTTTGTCAAGCTGTACCACGCACGTCGTTACAGTAACCATTAATGGAGATGATGCTGAAAACGTCCGACCTAAGCCAAAGCCAGGTAAGTGTGCGTTGGCTGTGTTTAAGGTGGTTGCATTGCATTAAATACCTTTTAACTTGCTACTAGTTTGATTTTTGATTTGTTAAAAGAATAATAGTCTTTCATAGATGCTTCTGCAGTAGTCGTGGCTCTTTTCCTAATCTTGTGTATTTTAGCATTTTTCTTTTACCACTTCATTGATTTTTAGGCTTTCTTTATATAAAATTTTAAATTACATATTTCCATATTTTCCGGAGGGAGTTTATTCCCACTTTAGTAATATGAGCTACACGCGTAAATAGTGAAAATCTTCAAAATCACTGATTTCTCTCTTCATATATATTTTTAAGAATGGCATAAGTAATAGTTATGAGACAGCAGCTTAGTAACTATTCTTTACTGAGTTCTGTTTTTAGGGAAGCATCAGGAAACTCTTTGCTCTGTAATATTTCTTAGCAAGTTTGGATTCAGAAGCTTTAAAGCCTCTGTCAGTTCCATGTCCTCTCCCACCCCCTAAAGGGGATGTTGATACACACACTACAACGAATCATGCATCAGAGCAATATTCTTCCATTTCTCATCCTCTTTAGTTGTTCCTAAATGCTTCAGTGTCCCATTGCGGCTAATTTTAAACACTCAGTTTTCAAACTAGCAAATATACAAATAACGTGCTGTGGAAAACAGTCTGACAGTTCCTCAGAGAGGTAAACAGAGTTACCATATGATCCAGCAATTCCCCTCCTAGGTGTATACCCAAAAGAACTGAAAGCAGGGGCTCAAACAGATACTTGTACCCCAATGTTTATACAGCATTACTCACAATACCCAAAAGGTGGAAACAACCCAAGTGTCTATTAACAGATGAATGGATAAACAAAATGTGGTATAGACATACGATAGAATATTCTTCAGCCTTAAAAGAATGAGACACGCTGATACGTGCTATAACTCAGATGAACTTTGAAAACATTGTGCTAAGTGAGATAAGCTAGACACTGAAGGGCAGATATTGTGCGATTCCACTAATATGAGATACCTAAATCGATATATTCAAAGAGACAGACAGAATAGACGTCACCAGGGATGGGGAGTTATTGTTTAAAGGGTACCAAGTTTCTGTTTGGGATGATGAAAAAGTTCTGGAGATGGATAGTGCTGAGGATTGTACAACAATGTGAATGTATTTAATGCCACAGAATTGTACCTTTAAAAATGGTTAAACTGGTAAATTTTATGTTCTGTGTATGTTAACACAATTTGAAAATACATATACATATTAACAAAATAAGCTTTCAGTTTTGCTGGTAAACATTTAATTTGGAGAACAATAGTAACTTTGTACTGTTGGAATTTTTTGTACCATGTATATAAATCAGTAGAGGCTCAGGTTTCTGTTAAATTCATACAGCCTTATTGATATGTCTTGCACAAAAATCTTCCAATGTTTTCTTCTCCAGGCCTCGCTAAAATGTCCTCCTTCTGTTTCTTTTCAGGAGAAGGAGGTACGTTCCTCACTCCCAGTGGCTGACCGTGTGTGTGGCTAGCGTGGTAGTAATGGCTCCGGGCAGTCTGTGAGGTTCTGGTAGGCTCTCTCCTTCTTTAGCCTTGTTTTCATGTGCACTTTATTTGTTTAGAATTCGTGGAAGTAATTTCCTTACCAAAGAATGACCTGCTGAAGAGACTGGATGGTAAGTGTTCTTATGATTATTACCCAACTTGCTCTACTTTCCCCAACCCCATCCCCAGCAAATGGGGTACTAAATAGAATTCTATTTCTTTATATTCTTCCTCATTCAAGTCAAATACCTAGAAACTTTTGTAAAACTGCAGTTGACCAATAATAATTTTCCTTTCTGGGTGGCACAGAGTTTGAAAATATAAGCAAAACATTCTATGTCAAGTGACATAGAAACATTCTATTTCAGTAGGGGCTTTTTTCCCTATAGAATAGTCAAGATTATATTCCTGCTGATGAGCCAAAACTATTTTGTACCTTATATCTTTAATCCATAGCAATGCAGAGGCGGTAAGTATAATAAGTAGATATCTCTTAGCTGATCCTCAAACATGCTAGTAAGTTGGATGGTTCTTTGTGCAGGGTATAAGTTAAAGGAGAATTTAACAATACTTCTACAAATATTGAGGTATCCACTATACGCTAAGTGTGATACGCTGATATAATGCACCAAACTAACTAGCAGTGTGACCCTTAGTAAATTACTGGTCATGTAGTTACACTGTGTAATTCCTGGCCAGCCCATCTCATAGGGATTTTGTAAAAAAATAAGTAAGGTTATGTGGACAGATGTCCTTTGCTATAACTACATTAGGAGATACTGTACTGAAGACATGACAGGGCCCTTCAAGGAGCACCTCTATGCTGGCTGGGTAGGCCCCCATTCACTCCTTTATAAAGGAGCAGATAAGCTTCAAAATTTGAATATTTTAACGTTTTTATATCACAAATTAACTTGAAGCATTGTTTGACCTGAAGCTTTGAGAGCAGTGTCTTCCTTCCTTCCATAAGTACCAGTGGCTTACTATTTTATTTCTAATGTCTGTGTTTGAAAAGTAAAATGGATCTTTCAAAAACTGCTGTGATTTCAGATTCCTAGAAAGCTTCCATTCCTCCTTTACCTTTTTAAAAACTAGATCTAAGATAAAAACCACCTCAAGATCTCACAGTCAGTTAGAAATACTCATCATTTATTAGGCAGTAACTCAGAGAAAGCCGTGGCTGTCAGGAATAGGCAGACAGCTTTGAGTCTGACAGGTCTGACTGGGTGAGGCTCCGCTGACCACACATTAGGTAGATTTTGAACAAGTTCCGTAGCCTCTCTGAGCTTCTGTCATAATGCAGGAACAGCAGATATCCCCTACCTCTGAGGAGGCATGAGTAAAACTAAAAGGGGTAATGTTGGCACACAGGTCCTTAAATGTGATATGCTGTGTGTTTTTATTATTATTTTTTTTTTTGTAGAAAAGTATTCTTTTAAAAAAATTCCTTCCTTCCTCTTCCACCTAACTTAACTTCCCCTATGGCCTTAGAAGAAGGGAAAATACGGAGCAAGAGAGGGAGGAAACAGGGGCTGGCTCAGTGGTGCAGCAGTTAAGTTTGCACACTCCGCTTCAGCGGCCCGGGGTTCACAGGTTCAGATCCCGGGCGCCAACCAACGCACCGCTTGTCAAGCCATGCTGTGGCAGCGTCCCATATAAAGTAGAGGAAGATGGGCACGGATGTTAGCCAGTGCCAGTCTTCCTCAGCAAAAAAAAAAGAGGAGAACTGGCATGGATGTTAGCTCAGGGTTAATCTTCCTCACCAAAAAAAAAGAGGGAGGACAGAAGGTGAAGAGGGATATATATATCCTCTTGATGTATATATAAAGAGGGAGGGGTAAAAGAACCAGTTTTCCTAGCTTTACTGGAATGGAAATATAGTAGTCAAATCATTTATTCAACAAGTAACATTTGAGTAGTTGGAAGGGCGGTATTTCCAGTTCAGTTTGCCACAAAGAATAGCTTTCACCACTTACCAAGCATCCACACAGATGCATAGGACATAACCCTGCCCTCAAGGAACAAAATGTCTCTGAGCTTGTTCCTAACCAAGAGGCTAGGAAAACAAGAGACAGATTCCAAGTCTGATAACCTCCATCTGAGGGAAACAGAAGCTCTCATTACAGCCCATTGTAATAAGATTCTGAGACCTCATTCTGGATAGAATGTCAGTCCTGTCATGCACACAGTCTAACCTGCATGGGGAAAATGTGTATTCCCTAGCAGTGGAAGACACACGAATCCCTGAATAAGGCACTGAATATCCATCACTGCGTAGTTTCCGAGTAGCAGAGCCCTATAGTGAGCTATAAACAAAGTAACAATTGGATCTATCCACTTAAAGCTCTGCTGTTTTGACACACAAAATCTTCATCTCTAATGTATGTGCTCTTCTGTCTTTATTCTTATTTTCTTGTTCTTGTCTCATGCTGAAAATGTAATCCTGCCTTTATGTCCTTTGTTCTTCCACTAGAGTAAGATCGTTGAAGGCAGAAAATGTCTTGTTCCCCACTGCCTGACCAGCCGCTAGCATAGGGACTGGCACATAGTAATTGCTCAGTAAACACTGACTGACTGTTAAGGGGTATTATCCTTGATTAACTTCATTACCTAACTTGTATTCTTTGCTTCCTTTAGCTCTGGTAGCCGAAGAACATCTGACAGTAGACGCCAGGGTCTATTCCTATGCTCTGGCGCTGAAACATGCAAACACAAAGCCATTTGAAGTGCCCTTCCTGAAGTTTTAAGGCCAAAGGACAGTGGCCGTGTTTTTGTAAACAAGACCACCAAGCCTCCTTCACTAAGAGTTTGTATCCAGCTTAGTCTAATGTAGATTTCCAATTAGTTTTTTCATAAAATAAAAGCAATACAGAATGCATGTGGTGGTATGGAATTCTAATTACAGGTAGGTCATAGCCTTCATTTAAATGCTACACTCCAACTAATATTAATGAAAAAGAATGTAAATGCAGATAATGTTTAATCCATTTTTTTTTTAAAGCTTGGCTTTCTTTTCTAATCTAGTCCAGGAGATAGAGGTATTTCTATAGGAAGAGACCTGAATTCCAAATGAGGTCAACTAGTCCCACCCCCAACCCCCAATGTAAAATTCTGTAGTGGGTATGCAGATAACTATTTAATACATTAGTGTTTAAACAGCGTTTTTAAAAAAAGACCTATGTAGGGACTTTCTTGGCCCCTCCTAATGAAATTATCTGCTATATGGAGTTAGTGTGCATGGCAGAGGATGGAAAATAACCCTCATGATAAGCCAATGTTTACACTTAGCTGGTGTCCTTACAGCCACCTAACTATGGAAGGTGAACCGGCTCTTATGTCATGAGAAGTGGGTGATTCCATTCATTCTGCCAGGTTATGAGGCTAATGACAATACAGGACCCTTCCCTCAGGCATGTGTACTTACTTTAGAATCTCATTTCCTATCCTTACCTCAAAAAGTACTTGAAGTTTCTAAAACCAAATCCTCAGTAATAAGATTTACATGGTTGGGGCATTATTGTCTGGTGTTAAACCACGAGTAGAGCCAGCAGGGTTAGCCAGCACCAGAAGCCCAATACAAGCTGCACTAAAGCAGAAACGGGGCACTGGTGCTGGCTCACGCCATGTCTAAAGCCCGTCATCCCAGAGGCCCACCCGTGTTCCTGAGCCGCTTTCTCTTCTGCTGACTGAGCTCAGCTCTCGTGTCGACATTATAGCCTCCAGCGGCTTCAGGATCACTGCCTTTTCAGTGGAGCCCCCAGCACCAGTCTCAAGGTGATTCTCACTGGCCTCCCCTGTTTCCAGTCCTGGACCCAGAGGTTAGCCAGGCCCCTCAGAACCAGATCAAACCAGGGTACTAATGCCAGAAATGCTGCCATATAGTACAGGCTCATTGTCTTATCTAGAGATATTTTTATGAACAAAAACACAAGATATTGTGCTTCTTAAACAAGGATGGAAAGAATTATGGAACTAGAGAACTGTGTAGATCAAGTCTACTCTCCCTGTAAATTCTGTGAAAATTAAGCCCCAACTACTTTAATGGTAGCCTTCCCCTGTGCCTCTAACGCTTTTTTAAAAACCCTTTTTTTAAAGCATGGGCATCATGATTCTCCAGAGATCCTAATCCTTTTCTCTGAGCTCTCAAGGACCAAGTCCTATAATTTCCCTTGTTACTACCCTCCTTCAAAATCAAGAAGAGATAAGGCATATATAAAATATACAGACTCAAGCACAGACCAGTCTCTCCAAACAGACCAGCTCTTCCAGAGCTACTCCCCATGGGAACTGAGAAACCTACTCTTAAATGTTGATGGAGGACAGATATTTGTAACCCCTACCTGTCCTTTCTGCCTTTTTCTCTTCCTAAGACTGCAATTTAGAAGTGACAGCTAAGTCCTAGAACATACCCCTACTGCCATTTATGTTATCTATAAACAAACATCAAAGGCTGTGCTTTGGAAATTCAGTCAGTTTGAGAACTGGCAGTCTGGATGTTTTCACTGGCTGGCACTGTTAATCTGTCAGCATTTAAAAGTTGAAGTTTTCCTATAAAAAACCATATTTCCACCTTCTCTTAAAAAGAATCATATATAGTGACACTGGGTCCGTTTCTATGGTAGCAGTGGTCTGAGGCTCTTAGGAGACGCTCTCCAGTTAACCACCGTGCCTGTCCTGCCTGCCTTGATCTGCCTCACCCCTGTAGTTAGTTGGCTTTGTAACCCTGAGCTAAATAAGATATACTTCCTGCACTTACTAAGAAAGTAAACAACAATGGGAAACCATACTTCTGAAAAGGATGCCTTTCAAAAATTAAGTTTGATCTCTTTTTGGACAATAAAGTATGTACTTTTATAAAGAACTGTGCTATTTCAAATGGAAGCTGGGATACTGTTGGAGACTGCTGTTTTCCTCTTTCCAAATGTTAGTCACATGAGGTTGGTCACGGTCCTTCAGTATTTTCAGGATTAAACACTAAACTGTAATTACATTTGACCTCGCAATAGGCATCTCAGGATGGATTTTGTATGAGTACAATGAACCTATACAAATAAGATTAGAAATCATTTAACATCAGACTTTATTTTTCCAACACAACTGAAACAGTTTTATTAAATAAAAGTTTATTGTCTACCGTTTACACTCATGTCGCTGCTGTAAAGTACGACACCATACACAAATTGTAGCATGAATTACTCATTGTTCCCCCACTGAACTACAGACATTGCTCAAGAATTAGATCTTTGCTTTAGGGATTGAAAAAAAAAAAAAAAGAAGTGGGACATAGTATCTTGAAAGAGTATTCTCAAGTGACTTGCTGGAATTCGAAGGCATAGCCAATACGGTCAAACAGCACCAACCATGCTGTCACTGGGAAGAAACAGGAATGAACACCAGGAAGAGGAGTCGGAAGCAGTGGCTTCCAGTGACAGAGGTTAACACTGAAGCTTGATCGTGCCCATCTGGGCTAAGTGGCTGCTCTGAGAAGGGACAAATAAAAAGGAGGGATGGAGAGGGAGGGTGGGAACATGGGCACTATGTGTTAAAAAAGTATAAAAAGTAATTATATCTAAAATAGATTAGATAGATATAAATGTTCCAGAACTCATTGAATAAGCTCAAAAATACTGGAAAGTGGCAATTTGAACTACACTCATTTTTAAACAAGTGGGGGCAATACTGAGTGCTCTGAACGTTGTGTGCTAACTGACCCACGGCACCATCTCACCGGCACACTGACCACGGCAAGGCCGGTATGCTGGTTTCCAGCATCATGGGCAACACGACATGTACGTTTTTAAATGAATAATGTAAACTTGAGTTTTAAGGCAGCTGGTACTAATGCTGCACACAGGCTTAGCTCGGTGCCCATTTCAGAAATGCGACAGTCAGCACTTGAAAACAAGAAACTGTGAGGGGAGAAAAGGGAACCGGCATTTGACGAAAACAATGTGTCAAAATAGTTTCCCTTTCACACACACACACACACAAAGAAATATTGGAACAGTTAGAAGAACAAAGCACCCATCCCGCCAACCTCTGCCTGTTCCTTAACAAATATTTCGAAATACTGATAAATAATGGTGACTGCAAGCAGAATTCCAGTGCCAGAGCCAATGGCCCCTAGGAAGTCGGCTAACACTGACAGGGCGCCGATGCACAGCCCGCCGAAGGCTGCTGCCGTGGGGATGTACCTACAAGACAAAACCTGGAGTCAGGCCACGGAGGGAAATACAAAAAGGGGCAGCAGTCACAAGCAATAACACGCTTAAGTAGAAACAAACTAATCCACAGGGAACAGTGTGGGGTACTGATGGGTTGTACACAGCGGTTACATGTTGATGAAAACTCTGTGATTAAGAGAATGATTTGACTGCCTGATTTCAAGAAACCAGTCAATAGCCAAGACAGGCAATACATGATTTTTTTCTTTTTTTTTTTTTTTGTGAGGAGATCAGCCCTGTGCTAACATCTACCAATCCTCCTCTTTTTTTTTGCTGAGGAAGACTGGCCCTGGGCTAACATCCGTGCCCATCTTCCTGCACTTTATATGGGACACTTGCCACAGCATGGCTTGACAAGCAGTGTGTCAGTGCACGCCCAGGATCTGAACCGGCGAACCCCGGGTCACGGCAGCGGAGCGCGCACACTTAACCACTTGCACCACCGGGCCAGCCCCAATACATGATTTTTTTTAATGGGTACCCTTAGCTCCCTCTTGTAGATGAAGAGTAAATTTCAAAATGCTTCATAAATCTCTAATTTATGTGACAAGATTTGGATGATCCTCTTCAATAGTAATTCAACCTTGGCTGCACGTTAGAATCACCAGGAGAACTGTTAAAAATAACAGGATAGTAGGGGGCTGGCCCCGTGGCCTAGTGGTTAAGTTCAGCGCACTCTGCTTCACCAGCCTGGGTTCGGTTCCCAGGCATGGATCTACACCACTCGTCAGCGGCCATACTATGGCTGCAACCCACATACAAAATAGGGGAAGACTGGCACAGGTGTTAGCTCAGGGCTAATCTCCCTCAAGCAAAAAGAAGCTTGGCAACAGATGTTACCTGAGGGCGAATCTTCCTCGCCAAAAAATAATAATAATGGGATTGTATTTAAAATCCTCCAGAAATAAGAAAATAAGATTGGGAAAGATGGTAGATAAAACAAGAGTGGCAGAATGATGCTAACTACTGACACTGGATACAGTTGGGTACATGGAGGTGCACTGTACTACTCTCTGCAATCTAGTCTATGTTCTAAATAAAAAGTTTAAATGAAAATATTAATGCCTTTTCAATCCTAAGAAAAAAGAACAAAGCTGGAGGCATCACAATCCCTGACTTCAAAACATACCACAAAGCAATAGGAATCAAAACAGCATGGTACCGGTATAAAAACAGACACACAGATCAATGGAACAGAATTGAAAGCCCAGAAATAAAACC